GATCAGGGCTAAGGAGAAATGGGTTCTAAAGTTGGGTATAGTTGCAGATACTTTTAATCCAAGCTTGAGGGAGATTGAAACAGGAAGATCTTGAGTATGAGTCCAGCCTCAGCTGTGAAACAAGACTGTGACTAAAAACAAAGGCTGGACAGATGAGCTTGTTGCTTGTTCCTTTCACTCACTGCAGGGAGACAGAGCAGTACCTTCTGTGTCAGTGTGCATGCACAGCCACCCCCTGAAGATGCTCCACTTATACCCACCCACTTTCTCAAGCCATAAGCGTACAAATATCCAAAGGAAATTCAGAGTTATGGGCCTGAAGGACAAAATTGTTGACATATATACTTCAGTTCATTTTCTGTGACGTTTGTCACACAGACATTGAAACCACAGGTAGAGTCACACTTAAAGAGAACAGGCTCTGCTTAAATGGATGACACTTGAGGCTGTCGGCCAGGTGTGGAAGTGTCTGTGTGGTGCGTTCCACATGAATGCTGGTCTGGGTGGTTTTCTCAGGAGCCTTCGAGTTTGTTTTTGAGATGATCCTTTATCCTTTACCTGGGGCTTGCAGATAGGACTAAGTAGGCTGGCCAGTGGACCTCAGGGTCCATGTCTGCACTTCACCAATACAAGGATTACAAGCACACACCACTACTTCCGGGTTTTCACGTGGGTGCTAGGAGTCAAACTTAGGTCTTCATACTCAAAGCAAGCACTTTACCACCTGAGATATCTTCTCAGACCCTGAATTGAGCTGTGGTGGGGTTTTGTTTGTTTTTGTTTTTGTTTTTGTTTTTGTTTTGTTTTGTTTTTCCAAGATAGAGTTTTTCTGTAGCTTTGGAGCCTGTCCTGGACTAGCTCTGTAGACTAGGCTGGCCTCGAATTCACAGAGATCCTCCTGCCTCTGCCTCCCGAGTGTGGTGGGTTTTGTATGTGATTGAGTAACATTCTTTCTTCACTGAGATGGTACATTTACTAAACATTGTATGGTGTGGGAAGTGGGAACTTTCACAGGGCAGTATCTCCTGCCCATTGAAGTTCGCCTTCCTGTGTGAATAGAGTAATGACCACAGGAAGAACCTGGACAGTGGTTGGTTGGCAGGAAGATTCTTCCTGAAGAGGTGGCATTTGAAAGTTAAGGCCTGAATGACAGGAAGGCATTCATGAGAAGGATGGAAGCAGCTGGCACAGAGGCTTGCATATAGTGTGTGTGTGTGTGTGTGTGTGTGTGTGTGTGTGTGTGTGTGTGTGTGTGTGTGTGTGTGTAGGGGTGCTCAGTTTGGAGGTAATGCATGTGGTGAGGGGCAGCATGGGAAGGGGAAGCCAACCTGGAAACAGCCCAGGTGCTGAGGCACAGAGTGGAGTCTAAAGGCAGCCTACGGAAATATGCTCGGGAATTTGCATTGGCTGATGATAATTGCTTTTGCAGTTTGTGCAGCAGAAGGCCTGACCTGAAGTTAACCTGAATTTCTGTTTTCAATAGGCAGGAACCATTAAGACATCAGTCACTGGAACAAGCATCCCAACAGGTGAGGAGGGCGCAGAGGGCTTGGAAATGGAGCTCAGTCTTTCTTCTCTGGCCTCACCCACATCCTCCTCTTTAGGCACTGTGAGTGGAAACGTGATTGTGAACACAATAGCGGGTGTCCCTGCTGCTACCTTCCAGTCCATTAACAAGCGTCTGGCATCACCTGTGGCTCCCGGAGCTTTGACTGTGAGTTGTTCCCATGTTCAGAGAGCTTACCATGATTTGTATTTTGGGAAGTTTATTTGCTTTTTGAATGTTCCTAAATTTCATAAAATCTACCTAAGTAACTGATCGATTTGGGAATCCTCAGGTGTTAGGAAACTGTCGTCTATTTTAGTAAGAAAAGGTGAATTTCCCCATAGGACAAGCTTTCAGAGAGGAGAGAGGTGGTATATGAAGAACAGCAGCTAGTCCCCTTGACCCAGGTGTCCCTTAGCTATGCCTCACTTGTACCAGTGGGAAGCAGAGGTGAGGTGGTTGCCTTGGTAGAGTGCTGTGCTGGAGTGTGGAGCACAATGCCATAGGAAGGGAGCAAGCAACCTGACTTCCTGGGGTAACGGCATCTGGGCAGGAGAGAGAGCCACCACAGCATGAAGGTAGAGGTCGGCTGGGGAAGATGGTCCCCTAGGAGGAAAGGAAATGCCCTCTGTGACATAACACAGAACATGTGGTCAGAAGGTTTTCCTAGTGTCAGCCACCTGCTTTCCTTTCGTAGTTCACAGTCAGAATAAAACACATTGCATTAGAATTCATATTCTGATACCCAAAGGCAGCTTGTCTCCTGTATAAGAAGTGATACTTCAAAGCTCTAATGCTGAGGTTTAGAGAATATCTCTGCTAAGAAGATGTGATTTCTCTGATAACCTATAGAGGTAGACACACAAATGGATGGAGTTGAACATGCCAAGGGAAGCTAAGAGGGAATGGACTGGCCTCACCAGATGGTGGTACAACAGTTTAGGAGCCATACACTAAACAGTTAAACTTGTCACACAATTCATACTTTCCTTTTTTTTTTTTTTTTTTTTTTGATGCCCACCTCCCAAGTGCCAGGATTAAAGGCGTGCACCACTGAGCCCAACTGAATTCACACTGCCTCGGTTTAGGCAGCTGTGCCAAGTACTGTGATAACATTCTTATGTTAACTTTCTAGACATCCGGAGGTTCTGCTCCTGCTCAGGTGGTCCACACCCAGCAACGAGCAGTTGGTTCCCCAGCCACAGCCACCACTGACCTGGTGTCCATGACAACAACTCAGGGTGTTCGAGCAGTTACTTCCGTGACAGCCTCAGCTGTGGTCACTACCAACCTGACTCCAGTGCAGACCCCAACCCGGTCTTTAGTGACCCAGGTGTCCCAAGGTGAGAGGCTTGGTATTTCCCTGAGCCAGTATCTGCTCTTAGAGCTTCTAGCTTGCAGGTATTGTCCAGGAGAGCTGAGGATGCCATGGTCTAAAAAGCCAACCTCTTTTACAGCCACAGGAGTTCAACTACCTGGAAAAACCATCACTCCTGCTGCCCACTTCCAGCTTCTTAGGCAGCAGCAGCAACAGCAACAGCAGCAGCAGCAACAGCAGCAGCAGCAGCAGCAACAGCAGCAGCAGACCTCCCAGGTGCAAGTTCCACAGCTCCAGGGCCAGGCCCAGTCCCCTGCACAGATCAAAGCTGTGGGCAAGCTGGCACCGGTGAGCATGTCCTTCGTCATAATATCACAGGCATACCTGGCCTGTCTGCAGTTCAGAACCTATTTTACAAAAATCTATCGTAGTCTTTAGGTAGAGAGCCTGCTTTCTTGTATTTAACACAACTTTCCATCCAGTATGAATCACACTTCTAAGAAGCATTAGGAAACCTTAGCTTCCTGCCCGCAGGTGCATCTCCAAGCTCGACTCACGGCTCTTTTTCCAGATGACTGAAAAGCCTGAGTGTACCATTCTTGGAGGATAGTGTGAAGACACTCCTCAGTGCTCCTCTTTAGGAGCAACTAGGTCAAAGGATGCTTCTCTTGGTTGCTTATTTGAAAATTGATGTTCCTAGTTTTGCCAGTCTGTCATCTGGCTGTATTTTGTGCTAATGTGTTTACTTTAGAAGGAAATGTTATGTCCTTGCAACAAATGCAGAATCACAGATATGCAGCATCAAAGGAGCCAGAGAAACAGATCCAATGTGGACAGATTGACTGCTTGGATCTAACCTTGTAAGCTGCTGGTCAGAGGCTTGACTCACTAGAGATGAGATGAACTAAGGCCACCTCTGTGATGCTTGGGAAGAACAGTGTCTGTCAGTATTCTGTTGGGACCTCCAGAGTGTTTTTGGCCACCTTAACCTTTTGAGACGTGGTAGTGAGGTACCTCAGATGAAAACTACCCAGCTGTGTGTGTGGCTAATACACACGTCTTCATTCATTTGAAATGCCACAACTTAGGACATTCAGCTCCTCATTCAGCGGTTATGTTTCAGGGCTCCAAAGCCCCCCAAAGCTGTGGCTGCTGAATTAGACAGCCCTTTTCCTTCCAGTAAACCAGAGTAATTGTTCTCACTACTCAAAGTCCATCAGGGGAAAATTGTCTGATAGCTCTGACTCCAGCATTGAGACTGCTCCAGTCAGCATTTCTCACCCACTCCAGCTGCCAGGAGTCCTGAGCATCCTCTTGTTCCTTTCTTCACCCACATTCTCCTAATTCAGTTTCAAAGCCATTGCCATTTCTGATAGATCCAGAGAGATCTGATAGTTATGAACAACTCATATACTTGTGAGAAGGGGATGCCCCCCCCCCCCTTTTAAATGTTTTTTGAACTAGTGTCCTGATAACTTTGTCTGTTTTTGAGTCAGGTAGTATCATGTAGCTGATGTTGGCCTTGAACACCTGGCCCTTTCCTCTTTACCTTCGTTGTGCTAGAATCGCAAACTTGAGCCACCATGCCCAGCTCATTACCTGTTATCTTCATAGGTTTACTGCCAAGTTATTACTATTGATGGAATTTAGTTAGTTACACAGTCATGAATCTATGTAAACTGACTTGTGAGAGGTAAGAACCTGGAAAGCTTGCTGTGAACTTAATGATCTGTCAGAGTCTGTCCCCCATTTCCTTGGTGAAGTGCTGATTTTCATTCAGTGCCCAATTGGTTGTGGGGATGGTTTATATTCTGCATATCAGCTAATGTACATGAATTCTTAGTAGAGATGGAGAGGGACTTATGGTTAGTTCATGTGGAGAACATTCCTTATTTGGGTTTCAGGAACATATCATCAAGATGCAGAAACAGAAGATGCAGCTGCCACCTCAGCCCCCACCACCACAGGCCCAGCAAGGTCCCCCACAGCAACCGGCACAAGTGCAAGTGCAGACCCCACAGCCCCCACAGCAGCAGCAGAGTCCTCAGCTCACCACAGTCACAGCTCCACGGCCTGGGGCTTTACTCACAGGCACCACTGTGGCCAACCTCCAGGTGGCCCGGCTTGTAAGTTCCAGTTCATTTACTTATTGTCCAAGAGTACCATCTTTGCATTTACCCAGAGTGTTTTTGTTTTTGTTTTTAAAAGCCCGGGGTGGGTTGCAACTTTGTAGAGTTGGTTTTCTTCTTCCATCTTTACATGGGTCACAGAGGGTAAACTCAGGTTGCTGAGCCGTCTCAACAGACACCATCACTGCATTTCAGTCAGGCTTCTGTTGCTTGCTCAGGAGCCGTTAGGTCTTGTGGCAGACTTAGATGTGAAGCAGAAGATTTGATCCTTACAGAGGGTGAAATATTAGACTTGTGGCAAGTTGTGCTAACACTACTCAGAACCATGGAAGTGTCACTAGGCCTATTAGGGACAAAATTGTTGGGGATAGCAGAAGGTGAGTAGTGAGGGGTAGGCACAGCACACTGGCTGTCCTGTTCTTTGCAGTGGAAGGGTAGGGGCAGTGCCAGTATGGCTAGAGCACAGAACACAGTGCAGTATGTTGCAGGCACCCCAGGTTCCATGACCAGCCCACTAGTGACCACTTGGCAGCAGGGAGAACCGTTGAGGATTTGAAGGAAGGAACAGCAAGATAGTGTGTCTGAGGAGATGTACACACTGTGGTCAATGTGCTGTGGATCTTCTGTGTCACAGCATCCAGTGATGGGTGACCCTTGGAGGGCTTGCCCAACCAGTGCTGCCCTAGGAGCTCTGTACCAGTCTCCTGGTGTTTTGTATTATGAGCTACCTTTAACAAGTGAAGGAACTGTGGCACAAGGGCTAATTAGATCCTTTACTTGGCAACTATAGCTTGACCTAGGACTGGAGTCCCAGGTATTTGGGCTCTGCTCTGTGTGTAGGTCTTCGTGAGAGGCCCCCTCTACCATAGAGGGACCCTGAGGAGGACTTATTTAAAAAACAAGCCTGTTGTGCCTGTGTTTACAAAACTGAGTCAGGAGAGTGGTAACAGGTAGTCGTAGGAGGAGCTTAATGAACAGTTGCAGAGTAGATTTTAGTATTTAGGCCACAAACCTTACATGCTAGTTATTATAATAGTGCTCTTGTCTCCTATAGAAATAGTGGGGCAGTTACAAAGCTTTTGTCAGTGATAATGAGGAGATCAAATGACTAAATGTTCACTAAATGGACCTGAAGGGTGGGTTAGCAGCTGGATTACTTTTGTTTATCATGGCGGGGAAGTTGTGGCAGTGTGGAAAAGGAGACAGGTGGCATTGCCTCTGCACTCAGGAAGCAGGGAGACAGATGGTGGTGCTCTCCAGGCTTCACTGCTCCGTTTACCTGTTGTTGAGTCTGGGCTCCCAGTCCACATTCAGGGTGGGTCCTCCCCTCTGCTCTGCAACCTCCTTACAGACTTTCCCAGAGGGTTGTCTCCTGGGCAGTTCTAAAGCCAGTCAGATTGACAGTGAAGGTTAACCTTTCATCACGCAACTCTGAAACTGACTATGTAAAGGGAAGAGGTGCTCGTTCTACTGCTGTGTTTTTGCACAGATGGAAAAGATGCCTCGCAGGCTGAATGTCAGTTTCAGTCCCCTGTCTGTGGGCACTTTAGGGCTGTGAATAGCTTTTCCTTTCTTAGGTTTCTTTTTGTTTATGTGTGTGTTTGGATAATCTTATACATACAAAAGTTGACTCATTTCCATTTGCCTTTTGTAAAATGTAATCTAGGGAGAAAAATGCTTGGTAGCAGTGTGGGAAAACTGTAGGATCAGGTAGCCTCGGGTGTGTTTTCAGATGGGTGGTCATGGCAGTGCTCTGGGAGGGGAGGGTGGTGGAAGCCAGAGGATGGAAAGTAAGTGGCACAGAACAAGGAACAGAGAGGAGTGCTTGGAATCTTATGAACATCAGAACATGGCAGCAGGGCAGACGAGTCCAGAAGTCTTGTACAGTCTGTCCAGTGTTCACAGACACTGACTGTGTCTGTCAGTGACAAGCACAAGTCTGGGCTGGCCTCGTGATTCTCGATTGTCCTCTAGTGTCACTGCCCTCTTTCCACGTGGTCTGTGTCATTCTCTTGACTTCTGGTCAAAAAAAAAAAAAAATGTTTTTTAAAAAATAGGAAAGAAAAGGACAGACAATGTCTGAATTTCTCTGGATTCTCCTGTTATTTTCACTGTTTAGACCCGGGTCCCTACTTCTCAGCTGCAGGCACAAGGGCAGATGCAAACTCAGACGCCCCAGCCTGCTCAGGTGGCCTTGGCAAAGCCTCCAGTGGTATCTGTCCCAGCAGCTGTGGTCTCCTCGCCGGGGGTCACGACCCTGCCTATGAACGTTGCAGGGATCAGCGTGGCAATTGGACAGCCACAAAAAACAGCAGGTACCTTCCTGCAGCTTCTTGTTGCTGCATGCAATTCCCAGGTGGCCCTGTGTTCTGGTGGAGATCACTGCCTCACTCTGTCCTATCACCTGCTTCACACATGCTGTCCTAGGGCTTAGTATAGGTTCTCTTAGTTTTCCAAGTCCCAAGTTTTGGCCTCAGTTTAACCATTAACATTCTGACATTTCCCATATGTTTGTCATTTATGAAATAGAAACAGGATGTATGCTGGTAGTGGTGGCGGTGCACACCTTTAATCCCAGCACTTGGGAGGCAGAGTTAAGCAAATCTCCTGAGTTCACAGACAGCCAGGGCTACACAGAGAAGAAACTCTACCTCAGAGCGAGAGACAGACAGATATCTATGTATTGATTGATTGTATATTTAGGGCCTGCAAAACCTTAGGACAATTCTTTTCTGAACAGAACCTGGATAAGCAGGGAGCCCTTGCCTGGACCTAACTGACTTGGTGTTGTTATAGGGCAGACTGTTGTGGCCCAACCCGTCCATGTCCAACAACTGCTGAAGCTCAAGCAGCAGGCAGTGCAGCAGCAGAAGGCCATCCAGCCACAAGTTGCCCAGGGCCAGGCTGCCGTCCAACAGAAGGTATGGGGAGGAGGGTCCAGAGTAAATGGGCTGTGTTAGGATGCAAGGATCCCAAGAGTGTTGGCTTCAGGGTGGAGGTGCTAGTGTGGTCGGTGTCCCTTGTTTTCTTTTCTTTTTGAGACAAATGCTTATGTAAGTGATGATGGTAGGGTGTGTGGCCTCAAGCTGGATGCCAGGTATGGATTTATCAGACTGGAAGGGACCAGAAATGATTAGGAAAGCAGGAACAGGCTCAGCACGTGGAGTCCACTGGGACTGTGGGTTCAGGACTGGGGACACTGCCTTCTGTACTTAGTGTACTTACTGGTGGCATCACCCCGATGGCAGAAAAGTAGGGCAGTGCCAGTACTTGGGATGGTCTTGACTATGTTGTTTAGAAGGTGCTGTGAAGGGGTCAAATGGTGAAGGCTCTTGGCAGCTACTGAGGGTTTGAGTAGGAACCTGGTCCTCACTTGGCTCTGATCCTCTGCTGTCTTTTCTTCAGCTAACCACTCAACAGATCACTGCTCAGGGCCCACAGCAGAAGGTCGCCTATGCTGCCCAGCCAGCCCTTAAGACCCAATTTCTGACCACACCCATCTCCCAGGCCCAGAAACTGGCTGGGACTCAGCAGGTACAGACACAAATCCAGGTAAGTATGCTACTGTGTGCAACTCAGTGCAGATGGCAGGGCCTGTGGAGACATAAGAATTCCTTGAGTCCTGCAGGCTGAGGAAGAGTACCAGCACCCATCCACTGTGACTACCACTCCTAACCTTTTCTGTAGGGCCCTTTCTGTGTAGTAGGCATGGAGCCTTCCAGAACACAGGGGAGTCTCACAAATGAGGTCTCAGACTCATGCTGCTGTATACCAACTTACCTCGTGTGTGTGTGTGTGTGTGTGTGTGTGTGTGTGTGTGTGTGTGTGTGTGTGTGTGTGGTTACTTTATTAGCTTGTGTTTTGGGTAATTGATGAGATTCCATCCTTTCCTGGTTTATTGACTTTCATGTCTCCTCTGACATACCTGTTAAGTAGTCTGCCAGGTTAGTTTTCACAGTCTAGATATAAGTTGCTGTGGTAACATTTGTGTGTGGCTTCTCTTTCCACTTAATGGTATCTTTAGATGAGCTACTGGAATCTCTAGTCTCTTTCTGGCTAAAGTCTTGCTTAAGAAATCTAGCCTGGAAGCTAGAAGATGGCTTAACAGTTAAGCTCTTGCAGAGGACCCAAGGTCAGCTTCTAGTAACCACATTGGCTAACTCATGATTGCCTGTAACTCCAGCTCCAGGGAACCCAGCGCCTTCTTTCTTGCCTCTGTGGTACTAGCATTCAATATGCACAGACATGCACACATACATAAAACAAAAAGAAATCCATTCCAGAGGTTGTGGCCTTATGATTTTTGCTTTCTCACTTATGTGTTTAATCCAAAGAGGGGCCTTGATAAAATCTACATATGTGAATGCCTGTTATTTATTTTCAAGGCTGCTTATTAAAATGTCTATATTACCTCCACTTCATCCTGTTTAGTGTCTATGCCTGTACCACTCGGGTCTCTGGCAGGCATGTTCTACTCTGTCCTTTAGGATTACCTGACTGGTTTTGGCTCTCTGTACTTTAAAGTTGGTGATTTTGGAGTCAGTTTGTTTATAGCCACGATCCAACTACTGTTAGAACTGCATGGATTCAGTAGTAAAAGAGTTAAGTTTATGATCATAGCTTCTAGTTTACCAGGATAATACATCTTCTGTTATGTATGTCTGAAGGGCCTTATAAATCATGTTAGATGTATTTAGTGTGGTAGTGAGGATTAAACCCAGAACTTTATGTAAGTATGCACTACTGCTGAGCCACATCTCCAGTCCTTTAAAAGAATTTTAATTTAGGAACAGTTTTGCTAAGCTGCTAGACAGTTTTGAACTTGTGTAACCCAGGCAGACCATGAACTTGTGAGCTTCCTGCCTTAGCCTCCCAAGTAGCAAAGATTATAAGCAGCTGTGAGCTTCCACATAGGTGCTGGGAATCATAAGCTCTCAGTTGTTGAGCCATCTCGCCAATCCTGGTGTTTTGCAAATCGTCTGTATTTTCTTTTTTCTTTTGTGAAGTACTAATATATTTAGACTTTATATTCTTTAGGTAAACATTGATTTTTAAATGCTACTCCACAATATTTTAAATATAGGCTAGGCATAGTAGTGCACACTTTTTTTTTTTTGGTTTTTCGAGACAGGGTTTCTCTGTGTAGCTTTGCGCCTTTCCTGGAACTCGCTTTGGAAACCAGGCTGGCCTCGAACTCACAGAGATCCGCCTGGCTCTGCCTCCCGAGTGCTGGGATTAAAGGCGTGCGCCACCACCGCCCGGCAGTAGTGCACACTTTTAATCCCAGCACTCTGGAGGCAGGTGGATCTCTGGTTTACAGTTTGTTCCAGGACAGCCAGGGCCACACAGAGAGTCTCTTGTTTCCAAAAACCAAGAAAGAAAATACAAATATGTTTCTGTAGATAATGGTAATATTGTACAGAATCTTGTTCTCTTATCTAAAACAAACCCTCTGTAGTACTTATGTTATAAAAGCTATGTTTATATCATTTTTGTATTTTCAATGTATAATACTTTAAAGAAAATTTCTTCATGCAATATATTTTGATCATATTCTTTCCCCTATCACAACTCCTCCCAGATCCCTAGACAGAAAGCCAACTTCATGCATATGTTCTATCTTAAAAAAAAAAAAAAAAGACAAAAAAGCATACTAAAAACTATCCCTGGGCATGGGGTCTGCCCTGGAGTGTGTTTAGTATACACGGTGACACTGCATTGAAGAACCCACATTTTCTCTTTCCCAGCAAATAGCTCCTTGGGTAGAGGTAGGTTTTTATCAATTTTTCCTGTGGTTACATTTCTATCTTCTGGCTTTAGCTGTTAAAATTTTTTAAAGTATTAATTCATATGAGTGTTTCCATACTCTTGAATTCCAGACTCATGATCCTTGCTTACACAGGCTTTAGGGTCTCCTTTGTGCATGCTTGAGGTTACAGAAATTTGACTATAAGATAGTCAACTATTTTGAGGAGGGTTTCACTATTGCTCAGGCTAGCTTTGAACATGCTGTGTAGCCCAGGCTGACCTCAGCTTCCAGAGTACTAGGGGTTGTGGGTGTGGACTACCATACACCACAGTCTGTATGGAAGTTTTGTAGCTTCTGTGATTCTGAGAATTCAACCCAGGGTTTCATGCATGCTATACAAATGCTAAGACAGCCTTGCCCCATATTAGTGAGCTACAGCATCAGCACCGTTTAAATTTGACAATAGCAAGAGATTTCTGCAACAAAATATCTGCAGGAAGTAACAAGGGGTAGAAAGTTTTGCTTTATAGATCATGAGCTCTCAATTATGATGAATGAAACCACTGGGAAGTCTCAGTTTCTGCCCTGGTGAGACCTCCTGGTCCACTGAGCTTGCCTGTCCAGAACCTCTATCCAGTGCCACTAAGAACAGAGTTTACTCCCAAGAAAGTTAAAATGTGAATCCTTGAGTCATTAATGGATTGCTTCTGAAAGTGAGTCAGTTGCTCTTCACCCTCCTAGAATCCTGGTAGGCATACTTGAGATTGTTTCTCCATGTTACCTGCCATTATTTGTTTGCTTAAGAACAGAGAAAGATGTTTGTGCATGTATATTGTATTTTGAATCCTATGCTTGCCTTGTTTTGTCAAAGGTTGCAAAACTTCCTCAAGTTGTGCAGCAGCAAACACCTGTGGCCAGCATCCAGCAGGTTGCATCTGCTTCTCAGCAGGTAGAGTGCACAGAGACTTAGGGGATGGTGGGGGGCACAATTTGTTTCAGAGTAAAATACTAGTGATTAGAGAATTACTTTTGGGGAAAGTGACTTACTGACTAGGGGGAAATCTCCAGGGAAGGACCAGACTTGTGCCCCAACCTGTTCTCAGCAGGCACCTTTGTTATGTTCCACAAGACAGGGCCACAGCATCTGGGGAGGCAGCATGGGATCCAGGTGGAGACAGGCTGGCAAGTGAAAACACCCCTTTCTGAACCAGAGCCCTCTGGCTTGTCTTTCCTTATGGTGCAGTAGTATTTGGTTAAAGTGGTGACGTGG